AGGTTAGGAGATTGCAAATGAAAAAATGAAATCGTGGGTACTCCCGATGTTAACGGCCATATACAGTGCCTATGTAGTGGACTGTGGCGCGAGATAAATAAGTTGCTTGGTGAATAATTGTTTTCTACCTTTTCACTGGCGGTTTTCTAGGTCTGTTCAGTGCCTATTTATCGCATATGGGTGGCATAATATGCAGTTTCGATTTACTTTGATAATCAGAATATCATACTAAAATTTTATTTGCTTGGTGATGCCTGAGCATAAAAGATGGCAACATCTTTTATGAAAATTGCTTTATACAAAATACAAACTGATTTTCATAAAGATGAGAGAACCGTTATGCCAGGGAAGCATCAGGAAAGTTTCTGTCGTTTCGAATCGTGGCCGACTTGCAAAAGATGCCGCACATTTAAAAAAGGGCAACGTTATGAAGCGTTCAACATCCCCATTGTTATGAAACTTATTTACCCCATTAGGAAATCCATTAACAATGGGGTTATGAATCCCACTGTTATGGTTTCGCTGAAATAGAAAGATCCCCTGATGCACTTTCAATGGAGGAAATAAGCTTAAATCTAAGATGAAACTTAGAGAATTAATCTTTATATATCTAACATAAATAAATAATCCAATCCATCTGATTAGAAAGTTCATTTGAAGAGTATTTTTCTTAAGGAACGTAACCTTCGAGATTAGGTTAGGTTACTTAAATAACCTACCTAATTAAGATACAATAACACGCCGAATAAATACTAATTCAGAAGTCAAAAAACAAAAATCAGCGTTATATTTACAAAATTTTCACAGGACTAGTTTCGATGGTTTTACCGAATCACCATCCTCGGCTGCAAAACCGCAAATGAACAAGATAGGAAATAATGATTAGATAAGATAAGAAAGCCTGGACTAGAATAAGCAAGTGGCGCCATCTGTTGGTGAAACCAGAACTAAAACATAATTTCTTTAAAAGCCGAAGGCAAATTTGGATTGGAATTAGGATCGTTAACTGGAACAGAAAAATTTTTATGAATGTGAAATGCCTCTAGAAAATCCAGTTCTCCAATGGAAGATGTTTTTTGAACAATTTGGGCAGCAGAAAAATTGAAAGTGGGATTTTCGGACCAACAATGTTGAGCAACAGAAGACTTCTGTGTTTCCTTTTTTCTAACATATGCCTCATGTTCCTTAACGCGAAATTTTAAGGCTCTCTTAGTTTGTCCAATGTAAATTAAACCACATTGTCAAGGAATCCTGTAAATACCCCAGGAATTCATATCCCGAATGGAGTCCTTGAGTATGGAACTCGGAATTTTATTTATGGGAGAATAAACGACCCGAAAGTTAAATTTCTGCAAAATACGTGCAACTTTATAGCTAATTGATGGAAAGAAGAGAATGACAACAGAATTTTTATAATCTCCTAAAACAAGAGTGTGCCTTTTAGAGTGTTGAGATGAGAATTTTTTAACTGCTTGATTAATAATGTCGGGTTAAAAGCCCCTGTCAATAGCTATTGCTTTTACATAATTTAGTTCTTCATCAACATGAAGCATATGTTAGAAAAAAGGAAACACAGAAGTCTTCTGGTGCTCAACATTGTTGGTCCGAAAATCCCACTTTCAATTTTTCTGCTGCCAAAATTATTCAAAAAACATCTTCCATTGGAGAACTGGATTTTCTAAAGGCATTTCACATTCATAAAAATTTTTCTGTTCCAGTTAACGATCCTAATTCCAATCCAAATTTGCCTTCGGCTTTTAAAGAAATTATGTTTTAGTTCTGGTTTCACCAACAGATGGCGCCACTTGCTTATTCTTGTCCAGGCTTTCTTATCTTATCTAATCATTATTTCCTATCTTGTTCATTTGTGGTTTCGCAGCTGAGGATGGTGGTTCGGTAAAACCATCGAAACTAGTCCTGTGAAAACTTTGTAAATATAATGCTGATTTTTGTTGTTTGAATTCTGAATTAGAACCTAACTAATGTCAAAGATAATTTATGGGCATTTTTATACTGTTTATCAGACGTCTTCTGCAGATTTTGCATACCAAGGTTGTAGAGACATTAGGTTATTTTAAGCAGGAGACATGAAAAATGAGCAATGCCCTCGACTCGAACCTGAAACCTTTCGAATACGAGTCTGCTAACCTTTACACCGCAAAGGCATGCAGAAAGGAGGGAGAAAATAAGTTAACAGAATAATATGGTTGCCCGGCAGTTCCTGTATTAGGCAAAATTAAGAGAGTATGCTTAGTATTTTCAAAGAAGTGGAAGTTATGTTTTTGCTTTATTTGTATTCGACTACAGAATGTGGATGCGAAAGATTAATTTCAAGTATTTATGAAATCCAAAATGATGCTAAAATGAGGTGTTTATATGAATGCACAAGGAAATATACATTGAAAAGAAGTCATTATGTACAATGTTAACAATCATAAAAAAACATGTGCTGAAATCATTTAAATTGTACATTGTGCTGGAAAAATACAGTAACATAAAACAGACCATAAGAAGAAAAAACACTAAAAATGAAAACATTCGTTTCGTAGTTAAGATGTTTGGTTCATTTATTTTCTAGCAATGATAATACTTTTAATTTGACAAAAGCTGAATATGTACTTGACCAGTTTAGAGCAGCTTTTAAATTTACAAGCAAACCTGATTTTACCAGGCATTTTCATAGAGCATTTTGCAATGTCTGCGCTTTTTAGAAACTGAAGAACAATTTATAATTTTGTCTGCGATATTTTTCCAATTGAATTTGTTTGTTTCTGCTCTTTGTGTCACATTTTGTTAATTCTCATTTTTTCATTTTTTTTTTTTTTTTTTTTTTAATTTTCAGAATTTCAGTTCTATTATGAATTTTCGGTAAGTAATTTTTTCGATACTTCAAAAGACAAACAAATTTAATTTTTTTGATGTTAAAATTGTCCATCTTGTAAACTTTCACGGATAAATTTGTATGTAATAAATTTGTTTGTTTGCAATAAATTTGTATGTTTAACACTACTGAGCTCTTAAATCATGCACAAGAATTAAAGATATTGGTGCTTTTAAAGAACTGGTTTTCATCAATTATATTAATCAAAGCGTCTGTATTATGGGAGATCCTTTGATACTTACGTATAATCCCGTTGAACGTGAAACTGTCGCCAAGAAACGAGATTTAGCGCTAATTATAGACGAGCCTTGACGTACAACACATTCATAACATTCGCATTTTCGTTTGATGTAATAATCAGTTCTTCCACGACAAGCCTCTTTTTATTTTTACGAACAGGAATATAAATTAATTGTTATTGCTAAATACTTTTCTTACATTTTGAAAAGGGAATTATTAACATTTGGTACCTTTCTTCTACAGAATAGCAGGCAGTGGATTCCAAAGTTATGGGATACTATCTTCAAAAAAAAAAAGTGTGTATTAATGTGTACACGATACGGTCAGCTGAATATGGTCGACGAAACAGTAATAGATTGAAAAAATTACAGTGGGTACAAAAAGTATTTGCACACATATATTTTTGTTCACAATTTATAAGAAAATGCATTAAGAAATACAAAAATTGGCATTTAAAAATAGAATAAGCTTATTATATAAATTAATTAAAAAATACAATAATTATAATAAAAAACATTTTTTGCAACAATATTAAAATAGCTTATGTCAAAAAAGTATTTGCACACTCAACTCAACTTTAGCAAATTTGCATTTTTATGCTATTATTTGACAGTCATCCCGCAGTAAATAACGTACGTAGACGACTATAAAAGGAGGTGTTGTCGAAACGTTATCAGTTGATTGTCGATTCAAATTGTAATGGCACCTAAGAAATCTGAATTGCCGATTTCGTTGCGAGAAAAAAATTGTGTCTCTACGTGAAAATGGCCTAAGTTATCGAGAAATAGGTAAAAAAGTAAATGTTTGCTTCTCTACTGTTCGGTATATTATAAAACGTTATAAAGAAAGAGGATCTACATCAAATAACTTGCGCTCTGGACGCCCAAAGAAACTTTCACTGCGAATGAAGCGAAAAATCATAAGAGAAGCATCAAAAAGTCCATTTGTTAGTGCAATTACTTTAGCCAATGATGTCGCTTCAACATCTGGAGTTCAAACCTGTGCCCAAAGTGTTCGAAATGTCCTGCATGAAGCACACATTTATGGGAGATCACCAAGGAAAAAAAAACCTCTCATAACTGAACGAAATAGTCTGAAGAGACTTGAATTCGCTAAGGAATATAACAATAAGCCAATTCATTTCTGGAAAAATGTCATATTCTCCGACGAGAGTAAGTTCAATATCTTTAAATCAGATGGCAGGAAAATAATTTGGAGAAAACCTTGTACTGCTTTTCATACCCAAAAATGTGTTACCTACAGTTAAACATGGAGGAGGTTATGTTATGATTTGGGGGTGCATGGCTAGCAAAGGAGTTGGTAATTTGTGTTTTATTGATGGGAATATGATAGCTCGAACCTATATTGATGTGTTGCGAGATAATAACTTGCCACAAAGTGCAATAAAATTGGGTATCAGTAATTCGTACTATTTTCAGCAAGACAATGATCCCAAGAACACTGCCGGTATAACACGTATGTGGTTGCTTTATAATGTACCCAGAAAACTTGCCACTTCCACCACAATCACCAGACTTAAATCCTTTGGAAAATTTGTGGAATTCTTTGGATTTAAAAATAAGAAAAAGGAAGATTTCAAGCAAATCTGCTCTTAAGCCCTTATTGAAGAGTGGTCGAATACTGACCCTACTGTTACAGAAAATTTAATTAAATCAATGCCAGCAAGATTACAAGCAGTAATAGATGCTAAAGGAATGCATACTAAATATTAGTTATTTGAAATTTGCTTATATATTTTATTTCTTTTGTATTCATGCAGGTGTGCAAATATTTTTTGATATGAGATATTTTAATTTTGTTACAAAAAAGCATTGTTATTTATATTATTGTAATTTTTCTGTTTGTTTCGGATGATTAAACTTATTCTGATTTGGCAATACAATTTTTTTATTTCTCAATGCTTCTTTTTATGAATTGCGAACAAAAATGTAGGTGTGCAAATACTTTTTTTACCCACAGTACGTGTAGGAAGTTTGTACTTATAGCGTTCTAAACAGAGCTCCCGATTTAATCAGAGAGCCTAACAAAATAGGAGAAATAGACGAAAGCCTTTTTACGAAGCGCAGAACAAAGCAGGTCTAACGTTTATTAAATAAAGAGAAGTCTATTCCTTCAGAATTCCGCAGGAACGATGGGCGCAAATTTTATGGGATCTGTGCTAACTTTCGACGTAAGTTTCTAGCTTTCATGGTCGACGTGGTAATACGTAAATGCCGTTCCTTTATTTCCAAGTATACTCGAAGTCCTTTAAACACTGGTATTACAGTTAATTAGAATTGGTGAGAAATGTTAGGAAAAAAACAGGAATTTTAATAAGGAAAACACATGAATAAAGTTGTGAATTTAAAGCAATAAATATGAAAATCTTCAGAATGTGCAAATTTTGGTAGTTAAGCTATTGTTTATTAAATCGCAAATTTTGTTGAGCTTATTAAGAAAACTTAAAATCGCAAGATAAATTGTATTCATATGCTTGAACTTGCTTATAGAGACCTGGGATTTATTATTATTTATTATACTTTAGCTCTCTAAACTTTGCTAAAAAGCATCGTCAGGAAATTCATGCTCTTTCAGGAAAATTATAAATAATTATAACTCTCTTTTGCTTTCACAACCAAATCATATGTAACCATATCATAGGACTTAAGATATATAAATTCATTTAGTTTTTCTTTGCAAAAGCCTTATACAGAAATGTATGTGCTAAATATACCTCAGCATATTTCAACACATCCTGTGAAACTGAAAAAGGTGAAGAATCGCATTTTTTCAGCTGATAATGACTCCAATGTTTCTTCAGATATAAAACCAACGTTCTTAAATAGCACGCCTTTGCAGCAACGCTGTAATATCCGTGATGCTATACACATAATTTTTTTTTTTTTTTTAATTTTTCGAACTTCGGATGAGTCGATCGCAGGACTACAGTTTACATTCATTCTCGATTTGATCAACGTTGTTGGATACAAAATGGTGGAAAAGGTTTAGTAAATTATATTTGATTAGTCAAACACCTCCCAAACTGTACAGAATAATTTATTTATGCATTGCGCAAATGTTCAAATTATGTTAACAGTAGATCTTTTTAATCTGAATGTTATTGTTTCTCAGTGCGCAAATGTACTATGCAACTATGCAACTCATATGCTTTTCCGCACCATGCAGTATTAGAAAAATTAGAGTGTTGGATGAAACTCTGTTATTCAAAAATGTGATCACTCATTTTGTCACAGAAATAAAACTGTTTATTTTAACGGAATTCCTCACGAAATCAGTTGTTGAGAACAACACGTTTTTAACTTTTTAAGTAAAATTCTTTTACTAATATTCGTGCTGCGAAAAAGCTCCAACTTCATATCTGATGTAAACTCGAATTGAGGATTCGCAAATTTGATCAATTAGTGTTTAAGTTTCCAGAATTTGGGTATAAAACAGTAGACTTATGGAGATGGATGATTCATCACGAACTGAGAATGAAAATCCAGACCCAGATTGCTGCTATCAACCGTAGCACAATTAACAAGCTGCCTGTTCCAGTGCTGGCAGCTGAAACTCTACTTCCTTGCGTTGGTGGTAGACTGAAAATGATTGTTCTTGCGCGGCTCACAGTATCTGTGGATACATCGGTGGATGTCGAAGGAAGTTCTGATGTGGAAGAAGGAGCGAGCAGAGGTGTTGTTGTTCTTAGAGACATCATGGGTGGCAGAGGTGGAGCTGTCGGACATTTGTAAGATAATCTGAAAGCAATGGAAATTTTTATACATGGTGAAAGTAATTTTCAGTAAAAGTAAAATGCACATTAAAAAACGAAAACTATTTAATATGCTGGATAGTCTGGAACAAATATTGGATGTTGAAACAGTATAAAGAAGAAATTTTTAACTGTAAAATTACTTTTTCTGCATTGCGAAAACGTGTCTTGCATAACTAAAAAAGATTATGTTACCATTATTTTTTTAAATCTGAATATTATTGTTTCTCTGTGCTGGAGCGGTCAAAGTAGACAGGATGACAGTCCGCAGATCTCTATATGTGATCCTTCGTGAATATTTATAACCGAAACAAATTGAGACGACAAATAATCATCTTCTGTAGCATGGCACAAATAAATATACACTCTTTTACAAAAAAATCCAAGCACCATGAAGTATATTTTTGATGAAATTGAATATATGTATAGTTTATACACAGATAATAAAATGATTAAAAATTCAAAGGTCATAGTACCTGTTCACGGCTCACAATCACCCATTGAGTGTTCAAATTAGTAGTTGGAACCGCCCCTGGCGGCAATACATGTTTGAATTCCTCGAGGCAAGGAGTCGTAGAGGTTCCTAATGTCAACCTGCGACACATTCTGCCAAGCATTCATCAGTTGTCGCTCCAGATCTACGATATTTTGTGGTGACCGAATCTGGCGGCCTACCGTGTCTCACACATGCTCGATTGGTCAAAGGTCTGGTGACTTTGCTGGCCAAGGAAGAGTATCAACCGGAGACAGTCCAGAGATATGCGAGCGGTATGTGGCCTGGCATTATCTTGTTGGAAAATGGCCCCAGAATTAACGTGCCATGAAGGGTAATGCAACCGGCCGCAGGATGGTATCAAAATATCATTGAGCTATTAAACATGTACGGAGGATGACTAAAGATGGTCTGCTGTCATAAGAAATAGCGCCCCACACCATCACATTAGGGGTTATGGCTGTATGCCTCTGTAAAACAAAGGCTGACTGGGACCGCTGGCCCCGTCCTCTCCAGACACGAACACGGTGGTCATCTGCTTCAAGAGTGAAGCGGGACTCATCGCCGAACACTATACGATGCCAGTCTGATGGCAGCCATGATTATCGGCTACTACACCACTCCATACGACTCCGCCGATATTGTTGCCTTTGACCACACAACCCCGCCTCAGACAAGCGCCGTGAGATGGTGGACATTACCACGGGAGGTATAGACGTGGCTGTAGTGCGTTGTCACGTCTATACCTCCCGTAGTACCGTCCACCAAAGATAGCATATTCCACCACAGTCAACAAAGATACCGTTGGGGCGCTTCGGGCCTGGCGAACAATCATCCTATTTTGGCTCGCATTTGTGCTCCTTGCTCTTCCAGAGCCTTCATTCGTTGGCACTTTCCTTGTAGCAACCACTGCTGCCAACATCTTTGCACAGCAGTGTCTGTACGCTGCAGGTGACAGCCTATTGCTCGGTACGACCACCCAGCTTCACTCAACCCTACAATGCGACCACTTTCGAAGTCGTTTAGTTGCCTGTAAGGTCTTCGATATCGTCGTAATGGCATCTTTAGTTGCTTGTTTACGGAATTACAATGGCAGCAACAAAAAAAGATAAATTTTCCGCCTCTGTTACTGGTTTGATACTTTGCGAATTGCTCACTAGAAATGCGCGCTGTGATCGCATTCCTGTTCATTTGCCTTGAAACGTTGATAATTTGCATGTTCGATCAAGATGTTTTTGCATACCAAATTTCGTCACGTTCGTAAAAGTCCTTCTTGGTGCTTTGATTTTTTTGCAAAAGAGTATAATTATTAAACACTAGATTAAATATGTGTCAGATCTTTGCACTATAACGTTTAGAAGTAAGCATGTGAGGTATCCGCAAAAGTAAATAATGATATAACAGAAAATGAGGTTCATTTTTTTATTGAAATTGATATCATGCATAGTAAAATATTAATAGGTAATTTAAGTCTGTTCAGCTGAAAATAATTTTTCCTTAAATCTTCGGCAATTTTCGAAATATAAAAATATAGAAAATAATTTCAGAAAAAAAAAAAAAAAAAAAAAAAAAACTTAAATAAATTACTGTCACTTATGTGGATCCACCAATAGCCGAATGACAAAAAGTTCCGAAATTTTTAGAATTTTGGTTTTCAACTTGCTTTTCGGCTGCGGAAGAAGCTGCGCTGCCTACATATTCTTCTCTTACTTACTTACTTAATATTGTTGATGTCTTGTCCATGTATTTCATGGAAGAATAGTTGTCAGAGCCTCAAGGAGGTTGGACTTCTTCTTCCACTCCAATTTTTAGGGACAGCACACTCGTGGGGGGTCAGAAGGCTACCCACCCCTCTTCCGTACCACCAAACCACACGAGAAGAATTTCGGCTTGCCATATATTTAGAGTGCCCCATGCCGTAAACACTCTATACACTTAGAAACATCCATGCTTTCTCCGGAATTCGAACCCGGGCTCCTTGGTACCGGAGTAGGCTCCCCTAACCACTATACCGTCTTGGCGGCAATACTTACTAATACTTCTAAACTTTCTTAATGCTTATATATTACTTACTTTATTCTGATTCGTATTTATGTTCCATAATAACATAAATACGAATCAGTCTTCAAGAAGGCACCTTAGAGTACTTTGCTGTAATTAATTAACCAAGCGAAAATTTAAGTATGTATTAAAAAAATAACTGTACACTCAAACCTGCTTTAGTGCGGTGGATAGGGACCGCATAAAAAAATCGCACAAAACTTCACGAGTAGCTACAAAAATAGAGTCGTTTAGAGTTGACTTTTTTTCAGTTACCATGTAGTTGGTGATCAGTTTTTGCTACGACAATTGTTTCACTAGATGCTTGTATATGTCTCGGCAGCCAGATATACAAGATTGAAGCTCCTTTTTTTATTGATTATTTTTTTTTATTGATAACTTCGTCAGTTATGTTTCCAATATGATTGAAATTTTCATATACTGCATAAAAAAATCGCGCAAATAAAAAGTCGCACAAAAAGAGACCTTACAAAAACAGGTTTGAGTGTATTCATATGTAAAAGGAAAACTATAAGAGAGATCCTTGGTGATAATAATTTTCTGGGCATTTATGCTTGTATCTGGGGGAAACCACGTAACAAATTTCATTTGGTTCTGATCAGAAAACATCTATCGTTTCTCGATTCTTAGTATTGAATATATAAAAGTTTTAGAACAATTCTAAAGCTTTATTAAAATTTTGAGACATATTTTTCTTTTCTTTCTTCATATGTTTAATTTTTTTCCCTCACAAAAAATGTTGGTGATTTATTGTACGTCGTTAATTTTACTTATTCAGTTTGAAATCAAGCTTTAGGTGTATAAATTTATTAATAGTATTTTCATGTCATATGATAGACTTATTTTCTCTGCGTCATGTTTTATTTATTTTATTTATTTTTTAGTTCTTAGATTATAATTGAACTAAACGCCAGTATTCTTAGTGGAGTCTAATAGATTATGGATGCCCAAATCTCTTCAACACTAGAACTCAGATCTGACGATTTGGAATCAGAATATTAATTACTCAACTAAATAAGGAATAGGAGCGATAATTTTGGAAGGCATAATCAAAACTGATTTTTGCTATTATATAACCAATAGTCTTCGAACTTCGTCGATTTAGAGAATCCAAAAAAGTATGTTTTTGTTTTGTAGAAGCCTCTTCAGAAAAATATGTATTAGCGAACTAAATATTAGAGTATAGAATAGCATTGGAAATATTGGGAAACATCCTAAATATGTAAGTTGAAATGAAAAAAAAATAAAATATTTCATTACTTCATTCTAATTTTGTTCATAAAACACATCTATTATCCTCGGTAACAATAACAAGAAAAATAGAAATATATTATTTTATTAATTTTTTGTGGTGCTTAGGTTTGGTTGCACGTGGTACTTTCGAAGTTTGATTATGGCTTACAGAGTCCTCAGGAGAACCCACACTCCTTCAAAATATAATTTGAAGACTACAGTCGTAGGTAATAAATCAGTTCTTATTATATTTGCTACAGGTGCAAAATTTCGAATAAGTCTGAAATTTTTCATTTTTTATTAATTTATTCTCTTGTGAGTGACTTTTCCATTTTCTTAACAGAGTCCATTGCCGCTTATTAAACTCACTGGTTAATATAATAAGCCGTTCATTACATTCAAATTCAAAGGCACCAAACAAGCATATACTGATCAATGGGATACTGCCGTTTAACTAAACTCATGTTCACCATTCAAAAGATTGTTTTTGCAATACCAAAGTATACCACTGGTACCTATCAAGGCCCTTTGTAGCTCATACGTTTCAACTTATTGAAGATCGTCACTTATTGTCGTGCTTCAGTAAAACCAGTTCCGCCAAAGTTTCGGCGAGTGTACATCTGTCTTCCCCTCCGGTACCTATGGCTCTCAGATATTATTTTCAAAGTTCTTCGTCCGTACTGGAGCTAAAGGTGAACTTCCTTATTTTAAAATTAATGAAAGCAATCCGCCAAAGGCGTTCTAAATGAGTGTGTTTTCTTCTCGCACTCTAGCACATTTAGAGAGCTGAAGTGCAGCCTGTGCATCTTACCATTTAAGGCTTCGAAATCTTCCCGTTGATTCACACACGTTAAATTCACAGGAAGTTTTTTAGAAAACTGCACTGAATGCCCCTTAGCTTTTTTGTAGATTCTCAGTCTTTAATTGAAAAAGAAGTGATATATGATAGTGAAAAGAAGCGGGCGGAAGAAGAAGTAAAGGTAACACTGATTATATTTATAACCACGAATTGCGGAATCCAACATAATAGACAAGGTGAAATCTTTCTGTTGGTTAATGAATGAGTTTGAACAAAACATTGGAAGAAATACTTTTAAACTTCAGTATGCGTACTATAATACGTCAAAAAGGCTTCAGTGCGAGGATTTAGGCTAAAACATTGCTTAAAATATGCCGCTTTTATTTAGAAAAAGCCTTAGAGAAATTGTAAGCTATAACCAATATTTCAAACATGTCTGAAGAAGTTATGAAGAATTATTTTTAGAATACGTTGCATTTGACGATAATACTGAGACAGTACATGAAAAAAAGGGCTATCATATTATATATATATATATAGTCTTTAAATAGCTACAAAATTCGAAACTGATAGTGAAAATGATACGAAAGAAAGTGACGGTATTCCAACCTCAGTCGAATTTAGAAATAACACTGTAACTTCCAAGAAAACTATCGAATTTAAATGGGGTGATTAGAAAAGATACCAGCAATTTCACGAATTTGAGAATGCTGTATGGTTACTATTGATCTACAAACTGAAGTTTAGTCCTGCAGACCTTACTAGACAAGTTAGTGAGTTATCGCTACATCTTAAACTCACAAAGTACCGAAGAAGGTTTTAAAATAACCTTTTTATTTAGTTTAAACATAGAAGGCACGACAAACGTGCTACGGACAAATCACCACTTGCGGCGATGTAAATTAAGCAATAACAGTGAATTAAATTCAAACGCGAGTAACGTAGTCTAAGACTACACATTCAACAAAAATAAGCTATGATCTGGCTGAATACTTATCCTCGGTAACAAAAACATCGCCACGTAAGCTTAAAGTATCGTCTAGCGAGAAAATGCGAAAGCCGGAATATCACTTTTAAATAGAGCTGGCTAAAAACTGATAACAGACGCCAGTGCCAGAATGTCTCTCTGTAGGATTCAAAATCTCCAGTTCAAATACTGTTGAAGCTAATTTGCATTCTGATGCAAAATATGGTTTGGTTTATTTGATTATGGCAAAGCACAAGAGGCCTATCTGTCTGAGAGATGCCTTCGTGGAGGACTTTTTAAGGGAAACTGGCTCGTATATACGTTACACATGGGGAAAATCAGGTAAACGAGCATGCAGCCAACCCATTCGCCGGAATATGAACCTCGTTCGAACTAACTGTGTTCAGCGATTTGGCCGCTGGTGGGCGAAAAATACGGAAGGAAGAAGTTAGAATGAAAAGTCAAAATCATAGCAACTGGTTAATTACCATAAAAACCTTAAAATGCAATTGAAAAACTGTTGATGAAGAATACTAAGCAAATTTGTTCTTTATGAGAGTTTAAAATTTCCACAGGTACCTAATTATAAGCGTATTGCTGTAAAAAATTAAAAAAAAAATCTCAAAGGTTTCAGATTTTAACGGTCGCCCAAAATGTTTTGCTAAGGTTTTTTTGTGCTCTCGCTGACCTCGAAGTCTATAGGTCTGCTCTTACACTCATTCCTACTAACGCGTTTGTTTTTTTGTCTTTTTAGCTTCCTATTTTGTTCGCATTTACGCAATATATAATTCAACAGCAAAATTATAAAACTTTTAAAAGCAGCATAACGGTATACGTTTAGAATTCCTGACGCAGCGTGTTGGCATACATTTTTTTTTGGCAGCCTTTTTTCAGTTTATCATATCATTTTGTTTTCTTACTAAGATAGCTTTTCAAAACTTTTTTTGTGTTTTTATTATTAATGTTTCGTTTGTTTACTTTATTTATTAAATATCATGTTCTTAGCATAAAATTCGATTTGACACTAAAATCTCAGAATTTTAAAAACTGCATATCTTTATAATTTCCGATAGACAGTCTCGCGCGTTGGAGATAAAATGTTTTATTCTGTACAGTGTGTTGCTATAGCTCGCTTTGAAATCTTTGAGTTTGTTTATTAAAAAATTCGTTAAAGTTTTACAAAATATGAAATAGATAATAAAACAAATTCGAAATTCAAAATTCGGGCTTCCAGTTGCCCATTTTCATATGGAGGAATGCGTTACTTAAAGTTTGATGGTATTAGGTACCGTCCTTTTTTCCCTAGTGCGAAAAACATACATACATTCATGCAGATTATTCATTATATAATTTATTTAAATATAATACAAGGCGAAAATATCTGGTGGCAACAATTTGAAAAGTGGCACGCCGTTTGTAGTGATTCAACGTAAAATGCCGTTTTGGGGCTAATAGCCCATTTGGGACTACTGTCACTTTTGGGCTAATAACTTTCAAACCTGGGTAAACAGTTTAATTTTAACTTTCATTAATAAGACTGATCATTAGTTATTATGTTATTGATAAGTTTAAAACCTATCAATAACATAATAACTACACTCTACTAATCACATTTTGCAATATTTGTTGTCTATTAAACTCAGCCGCTTAATAAACGGGAATATATTTGTAATGGAAGTGGTTTTAATAAGCGGAAGGTGCTGTATAAACTAAAAGTATATTTTGAATCCGCTATGAGGGCATATTTAGAGTGTAATAAAGTAGTAAAAACAATCATTAAAATGTTATTTAAAAGTAAAATTGGTTGAATGAAGATTAATTTTTGGAATTAAATTGCTTCGTCTGTGCTGCAAGTAAATACAGGCTAAAAATTAGAATGAAATTGTTGTAAGATTAGATATGAACTTATGTATTTATAACAATCCAGCAAATAAATAAATACTGTCTCTTAGATTTTAAAGCAGCTCATAGGTATGTCAGATAAAACCATGTAACATATAAAAGGATAAAACTTACGGGTAAAAGGTATTACTGCATATGCTCACAAGGTAAGACAAAGAATGATCCAACAAAGCATGGACTTTGAGGCCGCAGTTTCTTAATAATGGAGCACTAACGCACCCCTTGAATTGTCCATATGCACTATGAAAAAGATAAAAAGACACATATTACAACACAATGATAGATGGCAAAAACATATATGTAACGATAAGTTGTTTTGACAGACGGAAAAGATGTATGTCGGTTTAAATTATAGTAATTTATAGACTTCGTCTCTGATTTAGATTTAATTTCAAATAATATAGGACTCTCAGTGCGTTTCGTGCGACAAACGACATGATGTCCCTTCTGGAAGAGCAAATTAGTCTGCAACAGAATAGTTTCACAGTCACTGCTCCCTAATCCAATAACGTTATTTTGTACATGTTAATTTGTACCTCCATTTTTACCATTACCATTTACACCACATTAGCCTGCCGATTTCTTCTGAAGTCTCGCTCCGATTGTACTCTAAAATGTAAACCACAAGTAATTAAATATAAGATCGGTAAATACCGGTGAATAAAGTCATTTGACAACAAAGAATAAGAGATGCATTATCAGATGTATAATGATCCTTTCATCGAATAAACTTTTTAAGAAGCGCTTTACGATATAAATTTCACCCGATGAACAAAATTGAAAGGTCTTGTCATAATGTACCTAAAATTTCTTGATATGGGCAATGAAGAACAAATCATTTACATTTGATTATATAGGTATATTTAAGCACTCCCGTTTGAAATTACAAATAAAAAATAATTATCTTTCATTTAAGAAAGATGAAATAAATTAATGTGTAGGGTTTATATTTATTTTAACTAACATTTATTTTAAGTTTAAACTATCTTTCCTGTCAAGCCTTACTTTCCCCTGGAACTGCCAATGCCAGAATATGTAAATTTTAGTAGAACGCGCAAGGATTCAAATTATCAGCGGAAGTATTCTGATTTAAATAGAAGGAAACGAGTTCGGTGTGTGATATTCTGACTTCACGAGCGCGGAGGTAGTTAGCGAGAAATTGAAGAACCCCGCGTTTCGGCCTATGTGCTTGGCGGGAAGTAGTGTTAATCGTTCAAGTGAGCTTCAAGTCTGCTGAATTAGCAGCGGTGTTGTAAAACGCGGTGAGTTAGTTATTTTAGAGAGCCTCGTAGTTAGAGTCTTGTCTTTAAGTTCTTTTCAGGTTATTATTTTTATTTGACCGCCGAGTTGGCGCCGTCTGTAAGCGTCAAGAGCACGCAATTGTAATTTATTACGTTGAATAAAAAGGGACTTAAACCCTTTACAAGACTTTGTGTTTTATCCTGTTTTCACAGTCACCCCTTGGTTGCGTGCAAGTTGGAGGCGCGCAACGTTACAAATGTGTCTTCATTTTCGTTGAAAAAAACGAAATCGGTTTTGTTGTGTTTTCATTTTCGTTGAAAAATTTAGTTCTTTCTTAAATGAATGTTTTATTTTTCTATTGCGAACTATGATGTGCGAATCATTATTAAAGTAGACAATGCGTCCACAGTTAAAGTTCTCCTGTTCAAAGTTGTCTTCAACCGTAACCAGTCATCAGAAAGGCGTGAAACTTTGTGTATGACGTAATGATGGGATGTGAAAAACATTCAGCAAAAAAATCAAGTCACTTCCAACTATCGCTGCTAGAGAGCGTATTATGAAATAGTTGCAGTATACTTGCAAATTATTTCAGTGCCACGTAGCAGCTATTATATTTATTTATTTATACAAATGCCAGACATTTTGGCTACTAAGCCATTAGTCTTGATCTTGCTTCCCAATACTTAAGAACAATAGAATTAAAAGATAATAATGCAGTGCATTCGTCAATATGCTCCTTATTCGTGGACTGTCTAGAGTTACAAAGAATACAGTCTGAAGAGTCTTTAAGTCGAATTGTAAAAAGATGGGCATTCAAACAACCGTGCCTAGTCAAAAGACGAAATAACATCACGGTTACAAGACGAGGAAAATCTCGAATAACTGATTTTGAACTAGTGAGACGCTCCCAGACCTTTGCCTTAGCTTCACCTATAGGTAGGAGGCAAACCTCTTAAATTCTAATTTAATTAGGAGTTTTATCAGAATTAAAAGTCATATGGTTATTAGTGTTCTGTAGAATAGTCGTTCCTTTCTTTGCCAGAAAATCGGCAGTTTCATTTCCCTCGATGCCACAATGAGCAGGAATCCATTGCAAGACAATTGAGTCAACCAGAGTCTTGAGAATATTTCTACCTTCGCAAATTCGTTCGGAAGTCCAAACTTTGTTATTGGAGATAACTTGAAAAGCGGCTTTGCTATCGGACAAAATAACAGCCCAAGGGAAATTACTCTTCAAAGCGTTTAACTGATTCAGAACAATAGCCTCAACTTCACCATCAAAATTAGTAGTATCTCTTCCCACTGCCTTATAAAATACAAAATCGTTACAATAGATTCCTATTAGCAGCTCTTATAAAACCTGCAAAGCATTCATAGAAAACTTGTTTTCAGTATTGCTGTTACTCGAAAAATCCTTTAGTTTGCAAAATCACAGAAGTCTTTTATCAAAAACTCTGATTCCTTACCAGCTGCTTTACGAGCACTTCTGACTTTGAAGGGGCTTCGAACACGTCTAGTCACTTAATGGACTCCGAGAAATTATATTATATTTTATAACATGATCATTTTCTGTTGGTCCTGGAAAAGGAAGAAAATCGTTTTTACAGAGAGAAGGTTGCAGCTCAAGTGAAAGAGGATAAAGCTTCAAACTTTAAGGCTAGTGACTAGTGCTCACCGGTAGTTGACAGCAAAAGGCCGGTAAACGTCCATAAGATTTTCAAATATCGCATATTACAATATTTTTGCGTAGCAAATTTTAGTTCGAAGTTCTTCCGCATGATTTTGACACACAATTCCAGTTTTCACTAAGGTTTCTTGCTCGCTATGAAATCGAATCTCACTGTAAAAAAAAAGTTCGCTCTTTACAGGCAAAAGTTTTGTAAAGTTACAGAAATCAAAAAGTTACAGAAGAATTTCCTGTAATGGTAACAGGTTGAAAGCAAACTGTAGCGGTAACAGCAGATTTGCTTGTAACATTACAGATAATGTTTCAGTAGCCGCGCGGAAGAATCACGTGACTGACTGGAAATTAGCCAATCAGGAGAAAAGTGTTTGAAAGCTAGTTGCAGAAAAAAAACATGGCTGAATGCATGTTGGTTGTATAGCGCAGGTAAGTAAGAAAATGTTTACAATTACTACTTGAAATATTTTTTGTTCATTTTATGCAGATTATTCTCATGCACTTTGCACTGTTATATGTAGTGAGTAAGTATTTAAAGTATTTAAACGTTTAAGCTTTGCGATTAATTAATATCAGTGTTCGTAATGTCTAATGAGTTGAAAGAGTGCAAAATATTTATTCCAAATGCAGATCTAATAGTAGTATTTTGTCATTGTGCATCCGATAAATTACGCCTTAAATTGCCCGTATTATTATTTAAAACTAATTATTCCAAAATTTAATCACTGTTTGTGGTATATAATTGAAATGGTAATGTGGTTGTTGAAAACAAAACTAATCATTTTAGCGTTCTTTTCCAATCGTCTGACCAAAGAACGTTTGACATCTTTTTCCCGGCAGGCCTTGCGAGAAACGTTTATATAAACATTTAGAATTCTGAATGTAATGTATATATTTTTTTGCTTACTAGGTTTAGTTTATTCTTTTTCTAGGATTATCTAATTAGTTATACCTGGTTTATAATTCAGTCTAATATGTTTATGTACGAGTGTGTTATGAAGTAAAATTACAAAAACTTGAACAACGCGGTCGAGAATCTCGTTTATTCCTTTAGTGTAATAATATTTTTTTCAGTGGTATTAATTTCTTACGAAAATATTATAATTCCAAAATGAAGTAATTATATTGATTAAAAATATGCCGTATCATACTTTTCGTAATGTTTTGTTTTACTAACTAGATGCAACTTAATTATTCCATATATTTTAATATACCAATATCAACAGGGGAAAAATGGAAATGACCTAAAATATTTTTCTAACAATTCGTTAAACTAATTATAAAACAAAACTAAAATTTTGTGCATTATTTCCAAAAATATCATTTCATTAATATTTTATAAATGACAACATATATTATATTGTATATATAACTACCATTGCATACTTATAAGTTTTTAAACATTTAATGTAGAATTTATGTTGATTTTATTTTGCCCAGTTTTAATACAGTTTTGAAGTATGATAGTCTTGTTACTAGGATAGCATGAATCTGCTAATACAAGTTTAATACATTTCTTGACAAATGTTTCTCTTATTCATGTAATATAATATATAAATCATAAAATAAGTTTTCTTAAAAATAAATTATTATTGTTTATTGGAATTTAAAACAATTCTGTATCTGTATGTTGTATTAAAAATAAAATAATAATGAATTTTTAATGAAGCATTGATTTTAGCATTAACAATATATATATATATATATATACACATGAATAAATGGAAATGCAAGCTACTTTTCCTTACAAAACCGCCTATGAATATATACTTTCCTTTAGGCTGATAGCCTTTGCATGCTTTGCCATATTCTATCAATCCAAATGATGCAAATATGCAGAAAATTTTACTTTCTTTGAAAGTTAATACCGGAAATAAAATTCAGTGCATTTGTAAACTACATTAGTTCTCTTATAGCTTGGCATTTAATTGCCCAATGATTTACTAGTCCAAACTAAGGCAGAATTCAGATATCGTTCAAATAAAAGAAAATTAATAAGGTCTGATTTTTAGACGTATATATGAAGATTTATTTTTTTTAAATATTATTTTAAGTCAACCAAATTAATTTCAAATTTAAGTAAGTATTCATGCCTTTCAGTAGCAGCATTATTTTTGATATCTTAAATTAAATAACTGAATGCAATATTTCTTGTTAATAAAAGAAAAGCAATGTTATGAAAGACTAGCGAAGTGGATTTGCAAGTTCTAATTACGAAAGGTCCCATGCTTTAAGGGGTCATTTTTAAAAATACTTAATTAAAAAAAATATTTAACGTAAAACTTCCAAACTTCACACATGTGGAATATTAATTCTA